CGGCAAAGCCGCGTCATCCGCCGGGCCGAACGCCGGTGCTTTTGGCGTTGCAGAGAAGCAGAAGCTGCGAGCCAGCGATTACCCCCTGATCGCCCGCATCCTGCAGGGCCCCTGCGAGCAGGTCTCCAAGGTCTTCCTCATGGAGAAGGACCAGGTGGAAGAAGTCACCTACGACGTGAGTTTGCTGGCACGGGATGCTCGTCGTTTTTGAATGGGCTCGGGATGGAGCCGGGGCCGGAAAACCGGGGGGGACGTCTCCATGCTTGGGGAGGCAGGAATTGCTTTACTTTGCTCCCACGTCTCCCCGTGAAAACTCCCCATCTTATGGGAAAAACCTTGTTCTGTGCTTAAAGAGCATCTTTAAACTGCAACCGAGAGCAAACGCCCCCAGCCCGATTTTGCCGTCCCAAATCTGATCGCCGGAGAGCAATTGCTGCACGTCCTTTGGCGTAATTGGTATTTTTTCCAGCCGGGGAAAGCGCTGCGGGTGGAAAACGGCTCGTTCATGCCATCTGCCGGCTCCCTCCTACCCCGGCGCTGCTCTGCTCTTAAATCAGAGCACAGATGAGGCACTTTTGGGGTATATTTGGTCTTAAACAGCACTCAGTGACACGTTGGGGATGTGCAGGGCTCTCCATATGAAGGCGCCAAGTCTTGCAGCCAGTGGGGAAAATAAAATAAACCTTAGGTGGATTTTTTCCCCAATAATGTTTTGCACAAGCTGATGTTCATGCCGTGCAGAGGAAACGTGGTTTCTTTTAGGGTTTGTTGCAAAAGTCTGGGGGGGGAGTCGAGGGGGGGGTCCTTGATTTTCCCGGTTAAATCTGGGGAGAGGATGCTGCGAGGTCGCCTTCAGCCTTGCAGGGTCGCTGCATCACCCTCTTCATCGCCCGGCTTGGCATTTCTCTCCCACCCAGGTTGCTCAGTACATCAAATTCGAGATGCCCGTCCTCAGGAGCTTCATCCAGAAGCTGGAGGAAGAGGAGGATCGTGAAGTGAAGAAGCTAATGCGCAAGTACGCCAGGCTCAGTGGCATTGAGGGGAGATGCTGAGAGTTAAGGACATTGTCGGGGGGTTATTTCAGTGCCGAAAACGCGTTTGCACAGCCTTGCATCCCTAATGCAAGCATGAGCCACTGAGTTTTGCATTATTCCCGGGTTTTCTTGGCAATTTGGGTTAAAAGCCCAGCTTGATGCTGCAAAAACCCTCTTCTCCTTGTCCTTCGCCTCTGCAGATACTCCATCCTCCGGCTGATGATCGAGCAAAGGCTGGAGGAGATTTCCGAGGGTCCGACGGCGATGTGAAACGCTTCGCCGGCGCCCCAGCTCCGGGTTGCATTGCACGAAGAGCCGTTTGCCTGCAGGATGTACCGTACCGAATCCCAAACCCCTGTCGTTCCCGGAACGCTCCCGGTGTCCGCCCGGATCGCTCCGGCTCTGAGCCAACCCATCCTCCCGCGCCTTCATCTGCGCAGCATCCTCGGGGGGGTTTCCTCCTCTGCAAATGGGTTTTTTCCCAGCGAGGCTCTGGCCGGTAGCAGCTTCGGCCAAAACCTCAAATCCCTGGAAATAACGGGGGAGGGCGGGGAGGGGGAGGGAAGAGGAAATCCGTGAGCAGGGCGAAGCCGCCGAGGACAGGGCCGAGCGAGGGCTGCAAGCGTTCGACAGCAAGAATTTGGGCTCAGTTTGAAGATGCTCGCTGCAGCGGTGCCCGCGCACGGCTCCCGGCGGAGGACCCACCGCTCGGTGGCAAGAGAGCACAAATAATTCCTCTTTTTTTTTTTAAAAAAAAAAAAAAAGCACATTTCTATTGCAATAATTCGCAGGTGACGGGAAGGTTTTGTAAATCGATAAGGCTCCGCTGAGAGTTGGAGGGTTCTTAACACTTTTGCTGCCGAAAGCAAACCTGGGGACTGACGGTTGGATTTACAGCGAAAGAGTAAATCGCTTTTTTCCGGCGTATTCCTTTAACCTGCGTCTGGTCGCGTAACTCCCTCCTTCCCCCATTTCTAATTTGCACTAATTTTAGGGATTTTAAGAAAAAAAAAAAAAAACCTACGATGTCAAACCTCTCCGGTAGCCGCAACATGCCAAATAGCTCTCACGGGAATAGTTTATGGCGCTGAGCATCTCTCGAGGGATGCTGTATGGAAAGCGGGGGGGATGGCAGGAGGAGGGGGAGGCAGAAATAAAGAGGGGTTTATTTTGCAAATTGATTTTGCAGCGGTGCCAGCACATCGTCCCGCTGAAACCGGGACCGGGACTGGCTCCGTTATCACCATCACACCTGGAAAAACCTCTTTCCTCCCGGGCTAAACCAGCAATATCAATTTTATACCTCGATGTGAACTAAAACTCTGACTTTCTCCCTCCCTTGAGTTTTTGCAATGTGTCTTTGTAATTTTTTTTTTTATTTTGATGGTACCTTTTCCACCTTTAACACGTGTTAGGGAAAGTATTGTACAGCGAGAAACGCTTTTTATGTATTTGAAGGATGACTGTGGCATTGCTTCGTTGGTTAACAAGGAAACAAAATATGTAGCAACTTAATACAGAATGAAAACCCCCGCGTTAGAGCCTGGTTTGTTCGAAATAAAGCACTTTGCGGATAGAAATCCTACTGAAATGTGCTCTGCGTGGGCTGGGAGCGACGAGGGAGAAGAGCAAAACCTGCCTGGATCCCGGCGGAGAAGTTGCCCAAGGAGAAACGCTCCTGCCCTGCAGTTTTGGAGACTCACAACCGAATCGCTGGAGGATTTTTGGGGCCGTTGTAGGGTTTATCCAGCCCTTAGAGACTATTTATCCCCATGCACCGTGGTCGGTGGGCTCCATCCTCTGGATATTTCCCTTCCAGAAGGTAAAACTCGCCTCTAGAAGAAAACCTCTGCGTTGCTTAGCCTTGTTTTAAACACACTGAGTTTTTAAACCTGATCTCTTCAGGTTTTTTCTCCTCCTCGAGGCTGAGCTCTCTGCATCCCCGAGGTTATCCCCAGCCACGCTTTGCTTTCTCGCCGAAGCCGCCGGCCCCACGTTGTCCAGCCCATTGAAGCCCATTTATCCCTCCCCGCGCAGGAGGGGGATACGAGTGACGTTGGCTCCGCTTATCGAAGCTTTATCCGCCGGGAAAAGTCCGATGTGAGTCGAGCCCGGCGGGCGCAGACGGGAAGAACCATCGCCGGTGCGGCCCCGGGTGCACGGGTAAGGGCGGCATCCTCGGCACGGAGTTGAGGGATAAAAAGAGAAGGAATCGGGCAGGTAGCAAGGTGAAAAGTGTTGGGTTTTGGCACGCACCTGAGCTGGAGGTTGGGATGGGGAGAGCAGCCCGGGGAGGCACCGCACCCTGCCCGGCCGCTTCCACACCGGGGTTTTCCCTGGGCTTGGGGATCCATAAGCTTGGATACTGCAGGTGAAATAAAGGGGGGGAAAATAGGAAGGAAAAAATCCCCATGTCTTAATTTTTACAGGGTTTGCCACCCGGGTTTGCGGCGTTTCCAGCGGTGGCAATGCAGCTGCAAACAGCTGGAAGGGGGACGTGCACTTCTCTGGGCTTTCCTTAAAATAAACCGCATTAGTTGGAGGAGCAGGGCAGCGAAACGAGGCAAATTCAATTAATCAAGCCCTATTTTTTTTTTTTTCGAAGCGCTGGGTTTCGAAGCGGGGG